CAGGGGTCTCATTTATCAAACATTGTGTAGAATCCTTACTAAAACCGAAGTTAAGCTCAGAAAAAAAAGTACTTACGCCAAGTAGGTTTGTGATCTATCAAACATGGAGTACGCACAGCTGCACACAATCTCTGCTTCATAAATCAGAAACTATCTAGATAGGTTTTCAGCTGCTTTTTAATCACATCCCACCCTGACCACGCCCACTTACTGCCATAAATGGTCAATGCAAAGTGCCTTGTGGATCTCATGCATATAAATAAGCCGGCTGTTGCAGCGCTCCACCAATGATGATGGCGACCGTAGATCAAGGCAGATCAAGGAAGTGCAATTTCACAGAAGCAGAAATTTAGGTACTTATGGGTGAGGTGGAGATATGGAAGGAAGTGCCTTTGCAAAACAAATAAGAGAAAATCCACGGCGTGGCACAGCGTTGCTGAAGCCGTCAATGTTATGAATTCTTCAGAGAGATCTGTGGCGGTTATAAAAATAAAATGGTCCAATTGGGATTCAATCTCCAGACTCCCGGGTGAAAGTCACGCACGCTAACCAGTCAGCCAAACGGAGATCTCCCTTGCCCAAGTAGCCAGGGCGCACGATCAATCGGGTCACAGTGACAGGACACACACTGTCACAGACGCATGACATTCTGTCTCAATCTGTCCCCTTGATGATATTCTGCATTCCGTATTCTGCGCTACAGGCTGTGTGTATGTGTGTGTGAGTGTGCGCGCACGTGTGTGTGTGTGTGTGTGTGTGTGTGTGGGGGGGGGGGGGGGGTCTTGTTCTGTGTGACAACGAAGCAGTACAAGTGATAATGCTGCAGGATTTCATAATTTTATCCTTCTCAGCAGCAGCACTGCAGATGCTTTCCATGTCCAACATGTGCGTAAGCCAGGTCCTTAGTCAACTTAAAGTTGCACACATTTTTCCACTAAGTTTTCTTTCATAAATCCCAAAGTTTGCGGTACACACAGAATTTACCAGCCGACAAGACTTTCTTCAAAGTCCAACAGTCTGGCTGATATTAAATAAAACATTATTTAGTCACATTTTCTAGGTGACTAATATCATAATTCATAAAATGTCAAATAATTTTACAATTAATGTGATGAACATTGCATGTTGCTTTTAACATCAGTGAAAATGGAAATAACCCAAGTGACTTCAGCTGAAGTTTGAGTCGATGAAACCCAAATGACTGAAAATGTTCAACAGGTTTGTATTTGTTAGAAAATATATTCCTTTAGTTTGTTGAGGATATATTTTTTTCATGATTTTTTTAAAATCAGAGCTGAGTCAAAAACATTTCCATCTTTGATGTGGATAGTCAAATCTTTTCTCCAACAATAGTTGTTTTCCAGTAAAGGGAGGTGGGTGGTGAGGGGGAATGGGGCTTGCTGGCTAGCGAGGACCCACTAGGCTTTTTTTCCCAGCCTGGTGAAAAGAATGAATTATTCAACAGTAAGCAAGCTTTCAGTTGGCCATTTGTGTGCTTTGATCTGGGAATCAGGAGTTTGCATGAATGCCTGTATTGTCATGTTGTGTTTCCACAGTATGTGAATTATTGAAAATGGTGCTGCTCCCCACTTCATCTGGTGAGGTTTGAACTGCAGGCGCTTGATAAGCACACACAAATGTTAAATCTACAGATGGTGTTTATTTATAGTGTAAGGTCACATGGCTAAGGCCAGATCAGCCTTTCCTAAATGTGCAGAATGAAAACAGACAAGGTAAACCAAGAACAGGAAGTTAAAGCCCAACCCTTTTATGTGTATGTGTAGGTGGGACTCTCAGACAAGTGTTTAAAATATCAAAGATATTATTGAGGAATGAATGTTTTATTTATTTATTTTTTATTAAATTTATATTAATTTAAAGAGATTCTAGAAGAGACTGTGTTATCATATTTTATTTCTGCTCATTTTAATAATTAATAAAAACACAAAACAAATGGATTGTTCATTTACATTTTCCCAAATTTTGAAATCAGCTATTGTGATTTTCAGTGTAATTTGTTAACTTGTTACTGTATTTCAGAAAGCATGTTGGAGTCATTGGGAAATAAAAAGTTTTCCTTGCTAAATAAATAACCTACAGGAATTAATAAATCCCTCAAATCCTACTGTAATAAAGAGGACAGTTAGAGGGATGGTGTTCAAAAACCTCAGAGCCTCAGGTAAGACACTGTTCGTTAGCATTTCTGTCCCGAGTTTTTACATTCCTCAATCATTTTTCTGACGTAGGTATAGTTCATAGACTGGATAGGCAGGGTTTGGTCTAGGAATGCTCCATTGGAACCTCCGCAGTCCCTAGCAGCATTCTGGCTGTCCAATCACAGCTCTCTATAGGGGTTTCAAACTGGTAGAGTGCTGTGATTGGTCCACAGTGTTGGGCCAATTACAGCGCTCTATCTGCTTTGTGGGACAATCAGGGCCTTCTATTCGTCTGGGAGGCAAGATGATGCGACGGGGTCGTTTGAAACGGCTTTTACATCAATGGACTATTTGGATATAGACTTTATTAGAATCAGGAGCAGATATATGTATTTAAGTCCTTTATTTGGTAAAGGGATGTATTTTTGCCTTCTTCAACAGCAGACTGCCTTGTTTACCGTCATTCGTTGTGGTGAGTGTGTCACGTAGTTCATTGTCCAGTAGCATGCAGAAATCCTATGAAAGACAACGGGAGAACCCGCCCCACGACTAACAACCGTCAATGAAGCGTTGCCTAACTAAATAATATATTTAATTAGTCTGGCTTGACAGGCTAGCAGGGTCCATCATTACGGTCCTTTTTGTGGTTCATTGTGGGGTTGTCAATATTTGCAGCCTAGAATGTAGACCATCATTTGCCAAAGCAATGCTCCATCGGAACCCTTGCAGCCCCGGACAGTATTGTGGCTAGCCAATCACGGCACGTTCATTTGGAAAAACTGTATTATTTTATGTTTTTATGTTTTATGTGTTTTCCACAGTGTAATGGAGGACTGCCCTGTTGACTGACATCTGTGGCAGTCCAATTACAGCACTCTATTTGTTTAGTGGGCCAGTCACTAGTGCTCTATTGGTGGACGGAAATTTACAGAAAAAGCAAAGATGGGGACGAATCGTTTAGAAATGACTTTGACATCAACTTTGGACTATTTTGACTTGGACATTTCTTTGAGTCAAGAGTAGATAAAAGTACTTGAGTTTATTTAGACAAAGGACGTATTTGCATCTTTTTGACAAAGTATGGCAGACTGCCTTGCTGACTGACATCCATAGCTGTGAGTTCATCACGTTGTTTGAGAGACAACCATAGATCCTGCCCCACAACTGAGAGCTGTCAATGGACAGACTATATATTCTCATATATAGGATAGCTTGCCAGGCTACAGTGTTTGAGCAGATCTAATCACACTTTGTTTTTAATATTCTCAGAGTGTTTCCCATACCAGACAGTTATGGATGATTTCAGGGAGCTGTGCATCACAAACCAGTATAAAATACAGCCTACAACCTATAGGTCTTTCCATTTAGCATACTTAAGTGTTGGTACAGTCCAACATAGGTACTCAACTTCACTGTGTTTCTCTTTTTATAATTTTGCTGTTCAAACAGTAAATGAATCAAACATGTGTACTTTGGTATCTACGTCTACTCCTCTGAGATATCCCCCGCACTCTCTCTTGTGGTCTCTGATGTGGCACCACTGACAGAAAATGCTTTTGCCTATGATTTCCCAAGATACAGCTTATTATCACATGTGGCACTTTGTTGTCCCATTGTGTCACAGCAGCAGGAAAGGCTTTAATCGATAATGAAGTAAAGGTAGAAAAATGTTAAATTACCATGAGGGTTTGGCGAATTTCAGAGGGAAGTACGGCAGCTCCATGGTGTTGGTTGGCTACAGCTGGACACATAATTAGAGTCCCTCTCCTCCGATAATTTGTGTAATAGTTTTGGTTAGCAGCATGCTATTACCATATGAAAGGGCCAAGCAGGGTCAGTGCATTTCTACAGCAATTAGAGCAGAGCTGAGGGCAGAAGAATGTTTTGGGCGGCTGTTAATTGGAAATTTCTACAAAGCTAAGCTTTAATTATAATTTAGTCAGGTCTGCACTGTTTTAAACCCAATATATTCAGTTGCCATTATTGTTTGTAATAGCATGAAAAGTAGATCTGCTTCCTTTCAAAACGTTGGGCTTTGAAGAGCATGAGGTTGAATTAGATTAATTTAAAGGCTCTGCTGCCGCTGGGTCTTTTTTTCATGCTAATGGAGCGCAGCGTTGTCACGGGAAAACTGGATCTGATTTGTTGAGATGTACATACTTCTCAATTTGCTAGTACTCAAAATACCAATCTGAATAATTTTTTAACTATGTTAAACTACCTTCATCAACTATATTTTTAGAGTAATTAATATTACTTTTATCCCAGAAGTGATTTTAACAGTGAACAATTACAAAACATATAGACTTCATTTTGGTCTTTAAAGCTAGTGTTTTGTTGGGGCGGCATTTTTTTCTGAGCGCTTTGCTCTGAAGCCATTTATGTAGAATGGCATTTGACAAACAGTAAGGGCTAGTTTCTGCTTTAGAGTCCAGCGCACCACTGGGTGAACTTGTGTATTGGCAGTGGTATAATGTGACAAGAGCCCACAGGCCATCACAGACAAGCGGTAGATGTAGGCAACATGGAAGAAGGCCAGTTTTGCTGTCTGAATTCTCAGAATTACACTACACAAGTTTCCATTCAAGTCTATATGCTGGATACTTGCTTGTAGACACTAATAGAAGTAAAGTGATATGAAATACGCAGTGACCGTTTCCTGCAACAATTACAAAACGGTTCAGCAGCCTAACCGTGAACTAAATCCAACAACCAGAAAAATTTGTGCTGCTCCAAAACCTAATGAAGAATCCAAAGCACTTTCACATGCTCAGAAACAGATTCTCACACTGTCAAACTTAAATCTCATTTATACAGATGTTTGTCCCTTTTCTGTTTCTTTAGGTCGAAATGAGCTGATAGCCAGATACATCAAGCTTCGTACCGGAAAGACGAGGACTCGCAAGCAGGTAAGACAAAGAAATAAATTATTAAAGGCCTTTCTGTTGCAGAATAAATGGAGGTTTATCAGATCTGTGAACAAAGTAAACAAAACAGGATGAGTATAAAATCCCTTTAATGCCAAATTTATAATTTTTAAGTTTCTTAGACCCCTAGCTCTTTAATAGGATTAGTACATTCATGTGCTAGTCTTCCCTTGTAAAAGATCTAATTACTGCATCATATAAGCCCTTTTTACAAGACACACTGTGCCGGCAAATCAGCGTAAAATTACTGCAACACTGTGTCTTAGAAATGCGCCATGGTGATGCACGAATTTTGCGGCATTTGTTCCGTCTCACTTGGTAGTAATATTGCCATAATCATCTGTCATATAAACGGCGATTGTTGAGGGTGGTGTCATGATCATGTGGGGAGTTAATTTGCAACTTAATTGAAAAATAAAAGTAAACACGGACTATAACTTTCACTTTTTTAAACAGAAGCAGCTGAAATGATAAACTGCAGCGATGCAGAGCTCCATGAGCTTCTCTCTGTTAGAGCTGGAGGTCAGATCATCTCAGACTGCACAGGGACTGTGGAGAAAGAAGAAAGAAAGTGATTTTTTATATAGGGATATATATCACAAAAACAAAAAAATATTAAAAAAGATGTTTAAAATGACAAAAAATAGATTAAAAATGTAAGGGAAAGAGAGAGAAAATGAATAAGAAAGAGGGAAATCGGTGGATCCCAGGAAAGGCGGAATAGGTAGAAAGAGCAGAATAAGGAGAGAGTGATGATGAAGGTCACACGAAAGCCAGCCTGAGCAGGTGAGTTTTTTTTAAAGGAGACCACTGAGTCCACTGATCTCAGGCTCAGGGTGAGAGAGGTCCAGAGTCTGGGGGCCACAGCAGCAAACGATCTGTCACCTTTAGCCTGTTGGGGGTGTAGGGATGGAGAAGATCACCAATGTATGATGGTGCTTGTCCATGTAAGGCCCTATAGACCAGAACCAGGATCTTGAAATGAACCCTGAAGTTGACTGGCAGCCAGTGAAGCTGGAGGAGAAGCAGGAGGATGTGGGTGTGTTTGGAGGACTTGGTCAGAAGCCGAGCACAGGCATTCTGAACCACCTGTAGACGGTTCAGGGAGGTTCTGTTCAGACAAGTGAAGAGCGAGTTCCAGTAGTTTAAGCGTGAGGAGATGAAGGTGTGGATAACTGTCTGAAGTTCAGAGCGGGACAGAATGGAACTCAGCTTAGCAATGCTCCTGAGATGGAAGAAGGAAGAGCGAACCAGAGAACTGACATGAGAATCCAGGGTGAGAGCTGGGTCAAAGGTCACACCAAGATTCCTGACAGAGGGGTTTGGTGTGAGAAGCAAGCTGACCAAGAGAGTCTCTGACTTTAGGAGCCAGCTTGTCTTGAGCACAGATGAGGATCTCAGTCTTTAGGAGCGAACTGTTAAAACAACGTAATGATTGTGGCTTCGATCGCAATAAAAAGCAAAGTAATGTTCAAGATAAACGGAAGTCCGTGTCAACACAGAGACCGTCCCCATACCCCGTTTATGCCGCAATCGTGTAATCTATTGTAAAAAGGACATGATTGCACCACATTACCACTATGGTCTGACCACTTATGAATGACCTAAGGCTCCCAGATGCTGCCACGGTGTTGTAGCAAATTGACGGCATTGTTTTCTAAAAGAGGCTATGGTGTAAAGTATAGTTTGGAATTACCATTGTAAAATTGTGCATTTCCCAATTACAGTTTTCTGTTGATGCTAGCCTAGAAACATCTACTTTTTTGAAGAAAAAAAAATGTTTATCTGAATGTTATTTTTTGTATCAGGCTTTAAAGGGTTAAAGAGGTCCTTCACTGAGAAACCAATTTTTACCTATTAATTTAAAAAAAGATTGGTCACTCCCGGTTTTTCATGCAGGCTGAACATGAAAATAGTCTCCTACTCCTATTTCCTATTAGCTTCTGATGAAAAATCTAGGATTTGGAAAAACCCGACAGATCTACGTCACACTGAGTGAGTGAGTGAGTGATGTTTATTTGACATGGACACAGCAATTACATTGGACGAACCAGATGCATTGTTTAGTGTGTTAGCACACGTGCTAATTTGCAACACTTGTCCATAGAACCTTTCTAAAAAGTAGACTACATTTAAATAAAATACAAAGAGATCAACAATAAATCAAAGAGAAAACAGATTAAAATTGCAAACAATTTTCAATAAAAAACAATAAAAAGAATAAAAAAAGGCAATTTGAGCAGCAATGCAAGACTTTAAAACTATCACTGTCACTTAACTTTCCTGCACTCACCCATCTTGACTCATGACGGGGAAGGCTGCTGTTGGTTTAGCGTTCAGAAAACAGCAGAGAACATCTTGACTAGTAGAAGCTAACCATTAGTGTTAGCAACTACACCACATGGCACAGCTCCGTCAGGCTTCAGTTATTTGTAAAGATAAAACATGAACTTTGCAAAGCCAACAGTCAGTGGTAGAGTTGCGTTGCTGTTAGCCAATCAGAGGTGAGAAGCTCAAATATGAGGAAATAAGACTCCAAAACCTGCCTTTAGAATTTACTTTTATAGCTTAATTCTACATCCTCAAACAGGCACACCAAAGCTCCCCCCCCCCCCCCCCCCCCAAGTACAACTTACAAAGCTTTTATTCCTACTAGAGACCACTGCAAATGTATTCAAATATGAGTTAAGGACCTCTGTTCATGATTTAAGTAGACTTTAGACTTCTGATCTAGATTTTGTGAGGATTTGAGTCATTTTTTTTGCAAACAGAAGCTGCCAAAGAAAACCACTGCTCACATGGTATTATTCAAACATTTATCATGTGACATTATTTACAGATGTACTGTTTTTAGCATTGTGTCATGTAAGTATTAAAGATCATAGTTTGTCAGCTGCTGGTGTAATGTCAGACAACATCCCCTCACAAACTCATTTACTATGTGGCTTCTAATTGTTGGAAACAATTTAAAGCTCTACAGAAGTAGTTTACTTGTGATGAAAAAAGAGTCATGTTTTGAGTGAAATGCAGTAGAAAAGAGAGTAACCCCCAAATTCCACTACCTCCGCTCCACTCCGCTCCGACACGAACGCTGGAGCAAAATCGGTCCCATTGTAGTCAATCAGAGCAATTCCACTATTGCGGCCGTGCTACGGCAGTGCGGCGCCGTGCGCCGCCTTCTGTTCCGGCATCCGGCAAAAATAGAATCGATCCTATTTTCGCCGGACGCCGGAGCACCTTCGCAGTAAATGGACAGAAATCACAACGGCCCAACAGGAAAAGGAGCAAGCACAATTTCCGTTTTTCACAATAAATCGATAAACAAAAGGCGTTTTTTGTTTCATATGCACAGGTTTAACAACTTTTAACAACTATCAATGGCGGCTGAAGTTAAAATGCACAAAAGTAAGCCATAAATACAGTTTCCACTATCATAGTAGTCACACTTTGTTGATCCAAACACTGCTGATCTCTCAACATAAATGATGGGCAGATTAAACAGCTCATGCCGATGCTTCTTCCACACAACGGGTGTTTGGATCTAACTTCCGGGTTTATTGCTCGGACTGTATCGCAAGATCTCGAAAGTCCCGCGCATGCTTGTTTGCCCATCTCAGATCTCCGCACTGGAGCGGAGCCGTTGTAGAGCGGGTACCATTAAAAATTGAGTTCGGAAGCGAGCGGCTGCGGAAGGCGGGGGCGGACCGGAGCGAAGCAGAGGTAGTGGAATTTGGGGGTAAATGTTCCACAGTTGTAATTCATTTTTCAACCAGTAGAGCAGAGGAGCAGGAAACTGTTGTTACTTAAAATATGTAGTGAAAACTTGCTTTTAAACCACATGTAATAAGTACCTCCATTCCACTGTTGTTCTCTGTAAATCCTGTTTGACCACCGTCTTCAGTGATAAACTAGCTGGTGTCTGCAGTGACACTCGATCACTGACTGTGCATTGATTATTCTGGACCGGAAAGGCCGTATGGTTCGCTCTGGGACACAGAATCACACTGGTACTGAGCTATTTACCCACATTTACATTAAGAGGCATGTTTTTTCTTTTGTACACAAACACACACATTCCTGTTCATTCTGAATCAGGAGGTGTCCAACACTTTCCACTGGTACAGGAAAACATGTTGTGGAATTTTCTTGTATTTTTCAGCATCATCTTATTGTCTTACAGCTTAATATTTACTGGATAACCAGACAAAAATGAGCAGCAACAATTGTTTTTGTTGATTTTTAAAATAAATCCTCATGTTGAAGAAGCTAAAATCAGTTCATAAAAGTTGCTGGTGCTTTGTGGTTCATGCAGTTGTTAGAGCTCTAATTCAGGTGATAAAGCAACGTTGGTATAAACTTTTAATCGTGAGTTGTAAGGATATTTAGTGAGTATTTAGTTCTGTCACCTGTAAACGATGATTCCTTTCTGTTAAATTGCTGCAATCTTCCGAATATTTTTCCTTTTATTTGTGATTATTGTAAGTAACAAAAGTGGAGATTACCTCTCAAAGCTTTCATTTACTTGCATTTCCTTTTAATCATGGTGCTACTCTCATCGCATTATCTAAGAGTACAAGATAAATTAGAAATGTCTGAGTGACAGAAGTAAACTTGGCCAGAGAAAGGCCTCACCCATCTCCCTCTAGATACTAGACTAGCCGATTTTCATTCAGCACACACTAGATCACATCTGTGTGCTCTTAATGTGCGCTAAAGGGGCCTGCATCTCCCCTAATCAGCTCACTTAAGTCACGACAACACACTGTATAAGGCTTTATTGGCTGCTAGCTTGGCGCGTGGTCTGGAAATGTTTCAGTTATGCATCGTATCTCTTTGAAGTGTTTTTAAATAAAGAAATATGTGATCCACACATTTTCCCCGTTTTTTTATTTTCCCCCTTTCTCTTCTTGTTTAAATGGAGGTGTCTAGTCACATACAGGTCTTAGCAAGAAAGAAAGTTCGAGAAATCCAAGCAGCCATTAAGGTACGTCTGGCTTCGCCCTGTTGCAGGGGGCTTTTCATTGCCATGGTTACAGGCTCTTCCTTTGTTTTCCTCCCCTCCCCTACCCCGCAGGTGTCTAGTCACATTCAGGTTCTTGCCAGAAGAAAATCTCGTGAGTTTCATTCCAAGCTAAAGGTATGCGCTTTTCTGCTTTTGGGCTTGTTGGTTGCTGTGCGTCTGGACTTCCTGTTTCCTGTGGTGACAGAGTGAATGCCTGTTGCTCTGTTCTGATCCCTCTAACCCTAATTCTCTTCAGTGACAATAACCCATTCAGCTTCTCTAACCTCGTTTATCTTCCCTCTGTCATTCGGATGTGCTTTCACTGTCCTGTCTGCTGTCTGCATGACTCTATGTTCACGTCTCTTCACGGGCCTTTGCTTTGACAGCAGCTGCACATCATATCCGTGACATCTATGTTCATTTCCATAAGCTAAGCAGATAAACTGATGTGATTGTGTTGCGTTATTATCTATAATTATTTAAGATCCTTACTGGTGCTACAATAAGATCGGGTTAAAGTTGAGAATTAACATTAATGTTTAAAAATATATCAAACACAAAAATGTTACAGAACATGTTTTAATCAGTTTAGTAAACAGAGCCTGGTTTGGTCTTGGCTTCCACTCCTGGATAAATGATGACACTCTGTATTTCTTTAGAAACAAGTTGGCACACGCCCTTTAATTTGTAAGCTCTGAGCATTTACTAAACTCAGTTCAAGTAAACTTCCCTTTTTTTTTGCCTCTCTTGTGATAAACAATGAGCATGTTGATTACATTACATTACAGATGGAGGGAGCACTTTGCAGGAGTTTTCTGAATGGGAGGCAGAGTGAGCTTTTGTTAGAAGAAATTAGGGCTGCACAATATATCGAAAAATTATCGTCATTGCGATAACAGGACGTGTGATAGGCCCATCGCAAAGCACGTCAAAAACGGCGATAAATGTTTGGTTCAAACATTTCCATCCGTGTCATACATCCACTTTTTGTAAACCAGCTGTTTTTTACGCGGAAGTATTATTTGACCAATCAAATGTAGCCCTTCTGATATGCGGCCAATCAGATGGGTCCGTTTACGTAATACGCCCACCCCCTACGTAGACCCTTAGGATGGGTGGAACGCAACACCCGAACTGAGTTAGCGGCGCCGTTCCCTTGTTCGTCATGCTGGCTCAGATTAACGAACGCACTATGTGCTGATGTTTCTGGAATCAGCGCTGCTTTCAAACGTGAACGTGACTCCGCTCGGTGTCGTTAAGCAGCTGATAATAACCGGGCTGACTCCGACACGTGCCGGTGAACCAACCCACCTTCATGTCGCTAGTGTTCCACCGGGTTGTTCCACCGGGTGGTGATGTTAGCCCCAGGCTCCGGTTAGCTTCCAGCTAAAAGGCTACAGCACTCTCCTCCGAGTCCCACCCTGCTAAAGAGGGCCTGGAAAAGTTCCCCACACATCAAAGTGATTTTTCTTTTATGAGCTTTTATAACCTTGTTAATCAGGCTAGTTGATTTGCTGCTGCACATAAACTCAGTCAGAAGCTCTGCTAGCCGGTTATCTTAAGAGGAGCTAGTTCAATTTGTTAGCTTGTTATCAGAATCATAGTTGCAGTTTCATCATCTGAGCTGCTTTTTAAGATCTAGGTAAACTTGTTCAATTTGGGGTTAAAAACAAACGTTTTCACATATTTTCCATGTAGTTTTTTGCCAGTTCCTCTTCTGAAAGGTAGACAATTGTTTTTCTCTTTCCCTCAGAAAATCTTAATATTCTCCTAGTTTGGCCCAGCACAGATCACTTCCCATTTACAGCAACTGCCTTAAATCATAACCACATAAGTGGAGAAAATGTTCAGTAGCAATGAGAGAATTAGCTGTTGCATTTAAATGATGTTAACTATTATTTAACATTTAAACTTATTTTCTGATTTTATTTATTTATTCAAAAAACCCTGGTCAGGGATGTTTTTCTGTATTTGAAGCATCAGAAAAGTTTTATGGTGGAGGTGATGTTTTAAAGTCACTGAGAAACTGCATGCATGCAGTTTGCTGTTTTGCTGCTAATACAGTAGCAGGTGCAGCTGCATATTTTTGCAATAAAAATGTTATGCTGTAATGGAATTCATGCATTAGTTTTTGTTTGCTTTGAACCCAGAGCAGACATCACACGCCAGACGACATCAACACTGCATACTTTAGTATTTGTTCATTTATCGTGGGTAATATCGATATCGCAATATTAAGCACTGTTATCGAATATCGCAGGTTTTCCTAATATCGTGCAGCCCTAGAAGAAATAAAAGTTCCAGTAAATATAGATGTTGTTCAAATTCATACCAACAGTTGTGATAGTTGTTAAACACGTTAGCTTGCCTAAAGTTGCCTCTGATCATAAGGAGTTGTCATCATTAATGGAATCATTAAACAAAATTTAGGGCAAGACAAGAATGTAAACATGATGATTAAGGAGGAACTAGTAGATCACCAATGTTTATTTAGTCTGATAAAACCAAAGTTTTAAATCAGTACGTGACTAATACATCTGATTGTTGCACCAGTTGGCCAGATTGAGCCATGGGAGGAAATAAAAGCTTGTCAGATTTCTTTGTAAAAAAAAGTTTATTAGACATAGATGCATGCAAATAATTTCACCTTCGGGGCAAACTCTAAATTTGTAGCCACCCATCTTTGGTCTAAGGGTCTATGTTTTGCAAAGCATGCTGGCATTGGCTGTTGGGGAGTGGCTGAGCACTGACTCTGTAGAAAACTCTGCTGACATCTTTTACCAGAGATCACACAAAAGGTTGGACAAGAGAGCGGGGGTGTCTGTGTTTACCAAAACAATAAGGAACAGATTACCCCTCTACTTTATTCTACAATCAACACCAACTTTCCCTGGCTGTCAAAAGTCTCCATGGTGTGCATCGAGAGCAGAGAATGGCTGTGAGGCTGGCTGGTTCTGAAACGCCCTCTTTGCTTTTCTTCTCCTCCTTCATGATCTTTCAATCTGTTGAAGACTCCAGGATCACCTTTGCTGTCAGTTGCTTTTCTTCTTCCCAGCTCAGATGTCATCATTACAGAGCGTTCCTGTCAGTTATTTCAGAAATGGTGATCACTGTAACCCCTCCCCCCCTCCCAAAAATAAACTCAAGGGAAGAGTTTCAGAATGGCCGATTAAAATGGGAGAGGGGCATTGTGAGGGAAGTAATCTTGAATAATACTGACCTGTATTAAGGGTGTTTCTATATCAAAGGACGCTCTGGCTGTGTGCCAATTTTTTTTTACTTCCATGGAGCAGACTACATTTTGACTTTCATACTTTGCTCTTTTACGAGTATTCAGTATGAATTAATGACCCGTCATTAATGTGTGTGTGTGTGTGTGTGTGTGTGTGTGTGTGTGTGTGTGTGTGTGTGTGTGTGTGTGTTGAGACTAAGTTAGACCTAGCCACATCAATGCCTGGTCTTTCAGGGGTACAGGCGGCTCTGAAGAATAACAGACAGCTTTTGTATGAATCTCTCTCTTTTCTCATTTAAAGCAAATTAGAGTTCTGTGGCAAAGACGTACAAGTGTACCTTTCATTTAGTCTGCCTCCAAACCTGCTGTTTCTGCTCTTTTCTATAGAGTTTTAGTAAAATTACAGTCATTACACCACTGTTCTGTTGTTTTGTCCCTAATGATGATGTCTACTGATCAGATAGGGGAAATTATACAGCAGGCTAATTTGTAAATACAAATTTTATTATCTTTTTGTGCGTTACTCAGATTAAAGTGTTGTGGTAAAGCTAGCCACTCTAAAGTGAAATAACTAATGTTACTGAGGAATTTTCAAGTTTACAATAAAACCCTTTTTTGTTTACATTTAGGTTACAAGTATGGTAAGTAATTCTGTTTTTTATTGTTGCTTTAATCTGGGCTTGCTTTGTATTTTGTTGCTGCTTAGTGACCTGATAGCTGCTGTTTTCTGAGTTTGTTGGCGTGTCTGTGTGTCGTCACTTACAAACACACCGTCTGCTCCACCAGAGCTCACTGCCAGCATGCTCAGCTGTAGCTTCTGCCAACAGGGACCCTGCATGGGGATGTGCACGTGCTGCTGTTGCTGCACTGATGTCTCAAAACGACACCAATCTGTTTAAAAAAAAGCATAAGTTCTTCTTCAAGCTTTCTCCTTCCATTTATCTTTGCATTGATTAAGCATCACCAGCTTGCCTAATAAAACTTTTCCAAAAGAAAAGAAAAAAAATCAATTTCCTGAATATTTACAAAGCTTTAGACCCGGGATGAAACAAAAGGAAGTAACCGGAGCTGTGAAAAGCTCTCAACAAGGTGCGCTTGGTGTCCTTCAGTTTTTGTGAGGAATTCTTCAAGATCTTTACATGTGATGAGTTTTACCATGCAGTCAAATGCAGCCTTGAGAGAAGTGCCTCTGAATGAACATTTGAAAAGTATTTTCATGAAAGATTAGTTGTGAAGTAAACTCTAATTTCTGCACATACCACTGCTCACTGCAGTATATTGGAATTCAGGAGCTATTGTTTAGCACATACCTCCCAAACAAGCCGCCTCTTAGCATGGCGATGCTGATGGTGCTTCTTTTAACCCGCTTGCTGCTTGCTGTTGTGAGAGGTCAGCGGTGCTTTTAGTGTGTGGTTTATTGTGTGCTTGTTGCTACCTCAGCAACATGCCCCCCTTTTCTCCTCTGTGTGAGTGCTAAGCCTTTTGTGACTGCTGTTAAAGGACCAAGCCGTGAAGGACAAAGCCCTCCAGAGCATGGCCTCCATGTCCTCGGCTCAGATCGTCTCTGCCACGGCTATTCACAACAAACTCGGCCTGCCAGGCATCCCCCGTCCTGCCTTCCCCGGACCAGGGGTAAGAGCCCCCTCGGCACCCCGCAGGGCTGACCGCACCGAAGCTCGGGCCAAATCACATTACACACCACAGCTTTGCACAACTGCCCCAATCTGATAAGTGCATGATCAAAAGGAGTGGTGGGCAAGATAACTACAATCACTGAACACTAAGAGCCGTTCTGATCTTGTCTCTAGCAGCTGCTCACAATCAGAAGTACTTTGTTGTGCTAATAAATCTTCTGTCTCTAGCTATGGCAGGGTATGATATCGACTGGTCAACCGGGGTCCTCACAAGAGTAAGTGTGTTATACTTTACTCTCTTAAACCATAAAATGCTTTCAGTCAGTGGCAATGCTTTGTGGTCCTAGCTGTCATTTCTGTTGCAGTATTAAACCTTTCACCCAGCAACCATATCCCCTCCAGCCAGCAGTCACAACGGCCATTTCAAGTGAGAATACACACACACACACACACACACACACACACACACACACACACACACACACACGCACACACACACATTGATTTCACCTGCAATGCTTTTCCATTCCCTGGTACAGTTTAGTTTGGCTCAGGTGCTCGTCGTTGCAGTGTGTGTGTGTGAAGATGTCGGGCTGCAAAACACAACTTCCCAGTTTCCGTTTTTACATCCCACTGGTTAACCTGAGACTTTAATCTGAGGCGACTCGAGAGTGAAGAGGAGGACGTTTGGTTTTAATACAGAAGAGCTTGTCCGTGTGTGCTGCTGCTCTAGTCAGAGAAGGAAATAGCAGCTAATACACGCTTCCACATTCATCAGCCTCAGCTGTCCACAGAGTATCTGTTCAGTACCTGATTCACTTGGAACCTCAAAACAGGCAGCACCGCCAAAAAAGTTATTATCATTTGTAAGATAACAGAAACCAGTGTTGTACCGTGTAGTGGTAAAGCATAGTGTGCTGCAGCCTGCTCCTCCTCACTTTGTTCCTGATTCATCACAAACTTTTCTGAAGCGTCTCACTGCTTTGAACTTAAAAAGAAAATTGGCATGCGATTTTATTTATTTATTGCCATAAATAAATAAAAAAGAAATTTTAGAGGAAAAATATGGTGAGAATTTGCAGTTCAAATATTGACAGCCATAAATATTTAACATGTGCATTTCTTTCAAGTCAACCAGAATATTTACAGCTCTGGTCCAAATCAGAGGGAAGACTTGAGGATCTGGGTTAAGGATTACAATTATTTCAGCAACTGTTGTGTCTTTCAGTGTACTTGTTTTAATGTAGAAAAAAAACATTCCATCCTCCAAGTTTTAAAGGGATTTTCATCCAAAAGTGAAAATTGTCTGTTGACATATTTCCCAGAGTTAGATAAGTGTGGGAAAAAAACAATCTTTAACCAGCCCAGTCATTATCCTAACCTGGCAGGGCTCCTTTCGCTTTAGCTTAGCATTAAACACAGTAAGTGAATGGGACCAGCTAGCGTTGTGTGGGGAAAAAAAGTCCATAAAATCACTCTGTAGTGATCCTAATTCTGCTTGGTGACCTAAATAATCATATCTACCGCATGTCAAAATAAAAAGTAACACAAAAGAATCACAGACAACATTTTAGACACAGCTGTAAGCTTCCGCCAAAAGGTGCAAGGACATGACTACTCTAAACGTTGGTACATTTTCACAAATGACTCAGGCTCCCTGATGCTGCCACGGCGTTGTGGCAAATTGGGGGTATTCTTTTGTAAAAGAGGCTTCACATGGCTAGTTGGTCCCATTCACCTTCTGTGTTTTATGCTAAGCTAAAGCTAAAGGAGTACTGTTGGGTCAGGAGAATGACTGGACTAGGTACAAATTGTTTTTTTCCCACTTTTCATTTTTGGATGGAATATCCATGTAAAAGAATTATGAATAGAATGTGTAGATTAAATAAGAACATTATAATCCACACAAGAAACCAGCATTTTTTTAAATTGACACAGCGTTGAGAGTTGTCTTGTAATCAGTTGTCACTTTTCTTTTTTCAGCTTTTTAACGACTTTGAAGTGTTTCCAGTATTTAGGTTTTGATATTGGTATTTGTTTGTTGTGTAACTACAGGTTATGAACCCGCAGCAGCTCCAGCACCAACAGCTCCAGCGTGGCAGGGTCGCTCCATCGGCACATCGAAACTCCGTCTGGTGGAGTTCTCCGCCTTCTTAGAGCAACAGCGAGACCCAGACTCGGTGAGCAGAGAGTAATACTAAGTAAAGGAGCTAACAGTGCTCCTTCTTTTCTCTCGTTATTTGCGTTTCCTCAATAAATACAGAGGAAACCTTCTCCCAGACTGAGGGGAGGCCACGACGACTAATGGGCTCGACACACGGTAGGCGACATCGCCTCGCCTCCATTCATTTTCAATGAGACATGCGCGACAAAGCGATAATCACGGGTCTCCCTCCTACTAAGCGAAACGCGAAAAACGTGCGTGTGAAATTTTGCGCTCGTGCACGTGTCGTGCACAGGCAACCCAGCAACACGATCCCAGAAAGTTGAAATATTTTCAACTTTTCATCGCTGTCGCTTTGACGAGCACCAATCAACGGAGGTTTCATTCACTGACCAATGAGCGGACAGGATGCTCCGCACATCTCCGAGCAAACATGAAGGAGAAGTTGATTATTATTATGTTTTATAAAGTAAAATCACAAGTAAGATTTCACATAACTCCAGCAGCACCTTGTGAAACATCATATCTACCGCGTTTTTAACTCTGAACCGCTTAAATAACCTTAATTCCCTCCAACCTGACACAGCCAAGCAAAACAACAGAAGTTTCGATTTCGCCATGGAACAGAACGCGTAGACGGCTTTGCCGCTGGCCGCTGCCGCGGGTCGCCTCCCTTGTGACAGGTAATAAAAGCGACAGCGACAAATTTCGCTGATCGCTGTCGTTTGTCGCCTCCCGTGTGTCGAGCCCATAATTGTTTATAAGCTCGTGTTTCTTGTTTGATTTAGAGACATTTTTCTCCATTGAACTCAATGTTCTAAATTGTTTGAGCTAACGGAGACGCTGTTTTAATTGAACAGCAACAAAATTCTCACAGCCACTCAAAACAAAATATTGTTTTTTTTTGTTAGTTTTTAAACTGCACTGATGGAGGTTTAACAGAACCCAGATTCGAATTGGATGTATCTTGGTGAAGCAGTTAATTTGTATTCCTGAACAAATGAGGTTTTATGGTTTTAGCTGAATGTTACTTATAATCCGTGAATCTTAAAATACAGTTAGATTTGTACAGAAAAACAAATAGGAGGGTTACTGTATCACATTGCAATGTTACGGTCTGGTTGTAACATTTATTTAGGTCGAACTTTTCTGAAACTAAGTGGAAGTTTGGTCAAACATAATTTAATTTCGTCTGAATTTCTTTGCTCTTTCAGTACAACAAGCACCTGTTTGTTCACATCGGACAGACGAATCATTCCTACAGCGACGCCCTGCTGGAGTCGGTGGATATCCGTCAGATTTATGATAAATTCCCAGAAAAAAAAGGAGGGCTGAAGGAGCTTCACGGGAAAGGGCCCCAGAATTCCTTCTTCCTCATAAAATTCTGGGTGAGTGTGATTCATGAGCCAAATGATTACGTTTATTAGGAGTTATAAGAGTAATATTAGTTGTGACATTTTGCTAACCTTTGACACACACTCCGTGTTTTAGGGATTCAGAGTAATCAGGCTGCACAGAGAAGGTTGCTCTCTTAATGTTTACAGAATGCACCCTGCTATATTTGGACTTGCATAGCAGGAGAGCTTTTGATCAAAGCACTCGCTAATTCAGCGTAATATCTCCCAAACAATGGCGTGACCTGGTTGCACTACTAATGGCTCTTTAAACATTGTATTTATTTCCTCTCTGATGCAAAATGCTAACAAGCGGCAGCCAACAAAGTAGCCCCGCATGCACTTGGACTAAGTCCCCTCAAATTCCTTTTGAAGTGACCGGCGAATCTAAATTTCTAATGAAAGAGAGAATCTGCACAATAATGAATGTGTAACTGCTTTGCTTTAATGAAGGAGGAGAATGTTGTTGGGAGAATTTCTCCTCTTTTTGTGTCCGTAATGAACAGCATGTTCAGGACAGAGAGAGGCTGCCCTCCAGAAGCAGAACCTTTCAACCTTGTAAATCTGTCTTTTAATGTAACTGCATTCATTTATTTTTGGCCCCTCTGATATAGCTACATTAGCACGTTAAGATACATCTAAAATGGGCATTGATAATCTCAGCAGATTATCAGTATGCATCTGAATTTATGTCACAAACTTTGTTTTCTAGATGTTTTTTCAGGGATCAAATTAGAATTTCTGTAAGTTGTTTTTAAAAACCTGAATCTTGGCTGAGAGGCAACTGCCACCTTGGCTTGGCCTCTGATCTGAGTTAACTCAGACTTTCCTCTTCAGACTGTGTGTATACTTTCAAAAAGGACATTTCTCGCATCGGTTGATGCTCTTCCACATAAAAGTCACACCTCTCTGATTGCTTCGCTTCAGCCTTAAAGGGGCCATATCATGAAAGATCTATGTTGAGGAGCTTTTTATTATGTGATATTGTCATTTCCTCAAGATAAATATCCCCAAAACCTTTTTGGCTGCATTTTCGTGCCTCAGCGTCAATATGGTCCATGTAAAGATTTTCACTGCATCCAGGAGTAAGTTGTGTCACAGGCATTTCTCCTCCCCCTGAATCTGTTCTGGCCTGACAAATTAAGTCTGCATTGGGGACAAAACGCCGCCGTAGCAATCATGTGTCCTGTCTACTCGTGATGGCCAGCTCAGGATATGTGGCATAAGCTTGGTTTATGCTTTCCGCATTCACTTTCCGCGCAGTGATGCGGCTCGCGGATGGAACGCGCTACACAACTTGCAGCGTTTATGGTTCATGCGGCTTGTCTCTGCAGTGAGCCAATATTCTCCCAAACTGTAGGGGGCAGCATGGAGCTCTACGGCATGCATCCAACACTACATCGTAGTAGAAGTAAAAATTACTGTTGTTTACAACATGGCATTCCAGCATTTTTTAACAGCGTCCTCGTCTTTTCCGACAGTGCGAGCTATTTCTCTCCAAGAATTATTAACAACATGTTGATCTCTGAGAGCTGAATCATACACATGTCTGTATTGACGAACCTCTGCCATACTAGTTCTTGCCAGTTTGCCATGTTTTTCCGCGTACGACCGTCCGTGTGGTTAGAAAATTTCCTAGGTGCGCGGTGTAGAAATTTTGGGCCGTGCGGAGGCGCGGTGGAGGGGCGAGGTTGTTAAAATTTCGCAGTGCGGGGCCGTGCGAACCTTGCGGACGCGTCAAGCATAAACCAACCTTAAACTCGGTCACAGCAGTAATGTTTTTCTTCTTCTTTAGCTACATTTGCTAGTATGATATTTTCTACTCTTTATTGGCAAACTGTTTAAAATTAACAACTAATCTGTTTTTTTTTTTGTACATTTTTTATTTATTTAGCCAGTGTGAGTCCATGTGAGGTGAGCAGAATATCGACTAAAATGCTGCTCGGGAATGACCAATTTCAAAAATCTCAGATTTTCAGAAAATAAATGATAACATTTTAATATAAATGAATGAAATCTGATTCAGTTGGCTAAATAAATTACTACTGACACCACTGAGAGTCGAACCCGCAACAGCACATGGCAAAATGAGACTAAAGGAAGGCACTTAAACCACTGGACTACAAACTCTGAATAAATAGCAGACTTGCCTGAAGCCTGATTCATGCTTCTCCGTCTGCGTCAGTGCGGAGACACGCAGCGTCCTTGCGGGCCTGCCGGAGAGCTCCGCAAGGACGGACGGAGTCGAGCTCTCTTTTCTAAACATCCGTCCGTCGAGACGGACAATGCAAGCTTGTGATTGGTCAGGACGCCGCTGTCGTCTACACCGCCGGCATTGCGCCCTAAAAAACATAAAGAGAGCCGAGGATAACAAGCGGCAGACACGGAGAAGCTTGAAGAATACCTCGCGAAAAAACTCTAAAAACATGAACGTCTAGTTCCCCGTGACTGGAGGAGTGAAAAGATGCGCAGCAAGCGTTTTATTTGTGGACGGAAATGACAGGAAACGTGGATTTAGAGGTGGTGAGCGCATGAAGAGGTGGAGGAGGATGACAGAAAAATGTGTCTGTGTTAAAAAGTCTCTTATATACAAAAAACAAAAACGATATAAACACACGATCTTGGACCGATACATGACAGGATACCACAGAACAGCGCTACGCCCTCTGCTGTCCTGCCGGGGAATTGCTTTGCAACACTCCCCAGGGGACGGAGAAGTATGAGAGCAAAACGCTTCTGTCAGTCCGTGCGTGTCTGTCCCTTGCGGAGCTGACGGAGAAGCATGAGTCAGGCTTAAGACACTGTTGTAGGAGCATATTGTCGGATCTGGCAAGAGCTGAGCTTCTCTTAAACGAACCGTTTCAGTTCCAGGAATTAAATCAGGCTGATGAAAATAACTTGTATTTAAGATAAATGATATCTCAATAGTGCCAAGGGTAACATTTGATCCTACATTGTGCCTACCTTTGCTCTCAAAGGTTTAAAATAGCACAATCTGGCTTCTTTAAGATCAGCAAGTTGAATCAATAGGGATGTGTGATGAATATGAGATTTTAGACACAAAGCAAGCCCCATTGCTATGATTAGATAATAATACTGCAGCAAACTGCTTTTTGTGCAAATAGGTGAGTTAATTCCTGCTTCCCTTAGATCACGACAGAAAGCTTTTCATTTATTTCAGTATGCCACCTAAAGCTTGGTTTAGCTTAGACTGGGCCCTCTATTTGACTTAAGTTTCATTAAATAATGTATTTAAATAAAACGATGATTTACCTGAAAGTCCGTTGTAATCTGTGTAATCCTTTTACCAGAATCACAAAAGTGTTGTTAGATGTTGCTTTTGCTGCCTTGAGCCTACAGCTGTGACTGCTGGCTCTTAAATGACTGCACAAACACATTCTAATAGCCTGCTTGACCTTTTTCATCCTTGTTTAAAAGACAAGTGTTGATTTTCATTGTTCTTCTTTTCTCTTCAGGCTGACCTGAACCGCAACATTCAGGATGACGCCGGGTCTTTTTACGGAGTGACCAGCCAGTATGAGAGTTCAGAGAACATGACCATAACGTGTTCAACAAAGGTTTGCTCCTTCGGCAAACAGGTCGTTGAGAAAGTAGAGGTATGGACCAAAAATAACGACTCAACATACTTGCAGCTTGAATTGTTCATGTTTTAAAATGTTTTCATTTTTGTTTTCTTCAGACTGAATACGCGCGATTTGAAAACGGGCGCTTTGTCTACCGGATCAGCCGGTCTCCCATGTGTGAATACATGATCAACTTCATCCACAAGCTAAAACATCTGCCAGAGAAATACATGATGAACAGCGTTCTGGAGAACTTCACCATCTTATTGGTAATCACCTCTGTGACCCTCTCATTTTTCCTCCCTGCTTTGTCAGGAATGGTCGTGGGTTTCGCAGAGCTGACATTCTTCTCATTCCTCAGAGGATGAAACATCATCCCAGGAGCCTCGTATTCCCAGGAAGCCCTGTCATTAGGCATCACATGGGGCCTGAAGTGTTGTTCACCTCTAATGAGAAAATTCAATATTAAAAGCACATGCACAGATAAAACACCTTCAGGATTTCCAAAACCTTGAACTGGGGTGCTTATAGACATCTAAATGAAGAAAAAGATGTTTCATGTTTTACTAAATGTGTGCTTTAAAATGGAACGTCATCAGTAGGGATGAGCGAGTACACCACTATCTGTATCTGTATCTGTTCAACCAACTAAATTATCTGTATCTGTACTCGGAATGGGCGTGGCATAATCTGGAAGTGGGCGTGGTTTAACCGGAAGTGGGTGTGGTTTACATCAATACATTATTTTAAGTCTGAAATTGATATGGAATGATCAAAAGTTGATATGTGTATTGTTTATTTGAAAACTATTTACAGAGCAGCCTCAGAATTGAGATGAAATATTTTTGATCACAATAGTAAAGAAACTATTTCAGAACAAGTGTTTCAGTAAAATCAGAACATTAATATTTGAGTGCATGGATTAATACATCTGAACTCATGCAGTAGGAACTAGGAAATATGAAATGCTAGAACCAGACACAACTTTATATATTTTTTTATTTTAATTTGATTAAACTGATTTTTTTCTTAACGTTCTTGGCATTTTGCCACACACAACGTTAAACAAAACAATGTTGATTAAGGTGTGTGTGTCTGAGAGAGATAGAGAGGGTGAGAGGGAGAGAGATGGAGTTAAAAAAAATAAAAAACCCGACCGGAGCGGAGGTAGTGAGTGACTAACACAGCACGTCAGCTCTGTCTTGTCAAATGCACCATGTAAGTTACGAAAAAAGTAACTTTAAATATTCAACCGAAAAAGAGGCGAGCTGAAGAAAACCTAGGGAAAACTGAAGAAACATGAGCAACAGTGAAGCAAGCACAGCGAGATCCGTTACTGTCTGTGTGTGTGCGTGGATGAGCCGGACGGACTGCGCTCCTGGCCGGCTAGAGAGTTTTGTGTGTAGGGAGGGGCGGGCACTCTATGAGACTGGCCAATCATAGAGCGTGAAGACAGTCAGTTACCCAATGAGGATTTTCCTTCAGCACGATTACAGATATTTCCGAGGTCTACTCGTCTCATGCTTGTATTTGTCAAAAATGCTTTATCCGTACCGGAAACTCGTCTGAAACGAGTATCCGGCTCATCCCTAGTCATCAGTTTGTTGCCACTGGGAAATGATTTAGACCAAAGTAGAGTTTAGCAAGTTCTGTTTCAGGTTTATCATTTTATTTGATTTTTCATTAATCAAGATCATCACATCACCTGCGACCCACAATGCATCACAGGACATTCCGCCATATTGTTGTATGTGCAAACAGTCAAACTGCAGTGGTGACACCGACAGCAACCCCCTGTTTAGAGATTCTATGTCAAAGAGCCGTTAACAAACACACACCCCAACACACACACCTCACTCGGTCAGAGAAATGGCAGCACGCATCCTAGTCAGCCAGAGGCGCGGCAAATATGAGCTAAAACCGCATACCACGGCTTCGCCAACAGCGACTGCTGATTCAGTTTCAACTGTACTTTTGACCCGAAGAGGGTGCCACAATGGCAGTTTTATGCAGAGTAATTATATTTTAAATAAGATGCACTAAAATACCAAAGTAATAAATATACATGTCTACAGCACTATTAGACACTCATTTATAAAGTTTACTAGCAAAAAAATGTTGCTTTGGGGGTGACTTGCTCTTTAAGAGAACTATTCAATAAATCTGACCTGATTAAGTGAATAAAGTTTATTTATTTAACACTTATCATAGAAAAAATATCAAATAGCTTCACAAAGAACATCACATCTAAATAAAAACAAAAACAAATGAAGATAACATTTAATTATGTGACAGCTGTGTCGACTGTTTAAAACTAACTTTCCTTTATGCCAGAGAACATTTCCTAATGTGATCGGTGTGTTTGCACTAGGGATGCAACGATACCACATTTTCCAAACCGATATGATACCGATACTTGGATCTGAATACTCGCCGATACCGATACCTATTAGCCTGGCAAGCCAGATTAAATAAATGTATTATTTAGTCTGGCCATGCTCCATTGATGGCTCTCGGTTGTGGGGCGGGTTCTACCGTTGTCTTTCAAATGATCTCCGCATTCCACTGGACAAAGAATGTGACGTACTCTTGTTTCACTCTGTTGCATCATCCCACCCACCAGGCATGTAGAGTGCCCTGATTGGCCCACAAAGCGGATAAAGCTCTGTGATTTGTTCACTAAGCAGATAGAGCACTATGATTGGCCCACCATTATGGACCAATCACAACTCTTTATGTGTTTGAAACCCCTCTAGAGAGCTGTGATTGGCTAGCCAGAGTCCTGGTAGGACCTGCTGAGGTTCCAATGGAGCATGCCTAGACCATTGTTTGCAAAGCAAGAATTTGGTCTAGTTCACTAGGCTAGATACCGATACTTCTACCACACAAAAATATGCAATGATTTGGAATACAGATTTTATTTTCTTCTCTGCTTTCAACAGGAAAAGACTGTGAGGTAGATAAAAAGTTAAATATATGAATAGAAATCATCACAAAACTAAAATTTTAGGTGAACAGAAATGACAAGTTACAGTGAAGCCATTTTCAAGCAACTGCATTGGTATCGGTTCCTGGTATCGGTTAACTTTTACTGATACCAGCATCGTACTGGTATCTGCACTGATACCGATACCAGTATCGTACTGGTATCTGCACTGATACCGATACCAGTATCGTACTGGTATCTGCACTGATACCGATACCAGTATCGGTGCATCCCTAGTTTGCACCCCTAACAGTGTTGCTGCTAAGTTTACCCAGAACGATGGATGACTAAAATGTTTGTTTTACGTCTATAAATCTAAATATATAAAAGTTGTTGTGCTTACACAGTTTCAACATTGCATCTTGTAGCTGATTTGAAAGCAGGACAACTCCTTTATTTTTAATTCTCAGCAGGAGTTCAGAGATTTTAGCGGCCCTCTAGCAGACCGTGACCTGTCCTCTCTTGCAGGTGGTGTCCAACAGAGAGACCCAGGAGACGTTGCTGTGCATGGCGTGTGTGTTTGAGGTTTCTAACAGCGAGCACGGCGCCCAGCATCACATCTACAGACTGGTAAAGGAATGAAAGCCTCCGCCGCACAGAGACGCTTTCTTGGTTCTTTCATGGACTTTCCAACCTCAAAACAAGTGACAGTGCCTCTAAGCGAAAGTCATCGCTCTCTGGTGGCCGAGGTATCAGGTGAAGTCAGTTTGTCACAATTTAATATAAATGTCTGTTATTTGACTGCAGCTGTGAGCTACATTACAGCTGTTTTATGTTTCAGTGGGAATTTTATGGGATTTTTCTTTTTTTTTAAAATATCTGTTTATTGGTCTGATGGTTATAGGCATAGCCGTTTTTAAGGAATTAGCTGGATCGATTTGGTAAATAAAAATGATGTGTTGTCTTCTGATTTGTTATGTAGGCTAAGAAAAACAATGTCTAGGGGCCTGTGATGGTCTGTGCAGTCGTCTTGGGAACGTTTTGTATGTGTGTGCTTAATAATTTGTGATATTAAACATTGTAGATAAACAAATGCGCACCCACAGCAAATAGATTTCCCAAAGAAACAAAAAAAAAACACCACACACACACACACACACACACACACGCAGTAGCTGAAACAAGCTGAAACATAGCAGGAAAAGAAAGACAAAAAAACAAACAAACGCAGCTTTCAGTCACATGTTTATCCTTGTTGAAGCACTCCAGGTCTTAGACACCAACATGAGAGAAAAAAAATGCACATTTTACCTGCAGCTGCTCCATAAATGTAGAACACAACCTGCATAGCTGGTTATTTTTTCTGTATTTCCTCTTGGACAGCTGATGAGAGAATTTTCTGTTTCCAGACAAGTGAAAGTACATAAAACGACTGAGCTGGACTCATCTGGTCCAAAAGCACTTTGTTCCCGCGCCCAGTGCTCGCCTTAGTGATGCTTACTTTAACTCTGTGGCTTTAAACCCACAGTTTACACTACAAATCCTGACAGCCTGCCTTGTTCTGTATGCTCTGACGTCGCCACTCCCCTGATAGACTCTCTGGGATTTTGGTGGAATAATTCCAGCCAGAGAGAGAAACTGCCTTGATGCTCAAATGCAGTTCACATGTTTCTGTTGCCTGCATAGATCCCAAGCCTTAAACATGCTAAAGCTGTGTGCAAACTTCAAAGGATGACACTAAAACTGTGATCTCTGCATCAGAATCGTTGTTTGCAGCGCATGCACAATACAATCTGCCAAAGTGGAAGTGTACAGTGCCTTAGGATATCCTCTTTCTTTATTACTAAAACACATTCTGTGGAAGAAACAGGCAAAAACAACAACATCCTGCATGATGTTTTCACTTTATAAAAAACAAACATGCTTCAGAGAATTTGTGAAATCCTGCAAACAGTTTTTGTTGAACTTTATTTAAAAATGCAGTATTGTTCGCTTGAAGAGAAGCTCTTTTTCCTGTAACACTAATGATTTTATTTAAGTTTACTACAAATGGAACGACTGCCTTTCCTGTTGCAAAAGACCAAAACAACAAACCCAACCTGGAGAATCTGTTGTCCTGTCCTGCGTGGTAGCGAGAAAGTGCCTTTGGTTTCCAAATTTCTGCTTCAAAACATCAAACATAAACTAAAAAATAAAACACTGCTAAACCAAAAACAAGACACGCGTGAAACCCATCACCACTTTGCCTTTTTCTAAAGGATCGAGGACTAATGAATAACAGCAGGAGAGATATCATCACAGTTAAACAAATAAAGCATATATTCATTTTCATTTCTAAAAGTGTATTTTTTCTGGTCAAAGACTCGTGGAAGAGTTTGTGAATCTGCTGACTGCACGCAGGAAGTCAAACCGAAGCTGTCTGCTTTGTGCGCACTTGCAGGTTCAAGTGTTTGTAAAGAGGTTTACGGAAACACTAAAATGTGTTCTGATGAAAACTCTGATGTGTAAAGAAAATGTAAAAAAAAATCACATTTGATCAAGCTTTTATTGTTTTTAAATGAAATGTAAGCAGAAGCTCTACAGGAGACTCAAAACATCACAATCTGAAACTCAGCTGCTGCAGCAGTGGAAGAAATCACGTTTACTCAAACATTTTACTCTTTCTTCAAAACCAGAATCAGTCGAGGTATTTAAATGAAAAGAATAGTGAAACATTAGCTGACGGTGTCTCTGGAGGCTGCAGCTGGAGTTCAGTGTTTCTGCCGCGTCCCGTGTTTTTCCTCTTCTGTTTACCCCGTTTATCTGATCACATGTAGTGATTGTTGTTTTCTTATCGTACCTGTGTACTTGGTTTTGTGACGATATTGTTTGTATGTGATGCTGATGTTGTCACTGCTGGCCTATTAATGCCACTGAAGGCACAAATAAACATCTGGTGGGGAGGTGGACACACACACACACACGTTTGAGTTCAACCATGCTACAGACATATCAGCAGTTTAGCTCGTGTTACTTGTCCTTTATTTTCAGAGTAGGTGCTGGTACCTTTCTGTTTTTGACCATCTCTGATGGTAGCTTTAAAGTGATTTTTAACGTCGCCCACGCATAGCTGACATTCACTCACTTATTATTTAGATTTTTGTAAAAAGAGGTGTTTTGTATAAAAGTATATCTTAGCTTTTCTTGGTACAGATGTGTGATACCTTTTTCATATCCATTAACGTAACGTGTTGGAGCTACGAAGAGAAAAGAAGCTGTGCTGTTTCCGTGTCCTGCTCATGGTCGTGTCTTTGCTCCGTAACATCAAGATGCCTTCTTCACTTCAGTTGATATTTTGTAGCTTTCTAGATACTTTCTATGTATGCAATATTGAAGTTTAATAAATCTGGAAGAAAAAACACACATCTCCTTTTTTGTCACTTAAACAATAACCACCTTTTAGCTGTAAGAGCCTCAGATCAACAGCAGATGGAGTTATTTAGTTAAAGCAGCTCACTCGGGGAAACGTTTGATGTATAGTTCCTGTAGTAACAGGAACCGCCACTAGAGGGAGGTGTGCACTTGATCTGTTTCAGGTGAGACTCAAGCAAAAGCGCAAGGTTGACAGGTTACCCGGAGAATCCTTACTCCAAGGGAAGAGAGAACATCTGTTTGCATATATTTAATAAACTTTTGTAATTAAGTATAAGTTTGAGAACAATCACAAAAGTAATATTTCTCTGTTTTGTTTTTTACTCCATATTTGATATAAAATAAATAGTTTTGTGCTTTTTCACTTCAATCTCTTGTGAGGCAAATCAATTGTATTAATTTTTGTTGTTTATTTCATAAATGAATAATTTGTTGATTAATACAAAATGACTCCATCCTCTCTCATCAGCACATGTCAAACAGTATAGGTTCACTCTTGATCACGTGATCACAGCACATAACACAGTGTGTGTGTGTTTCCCTGTCAGGGCCTTAAGAACATAGAAGGACTGATGGAGTTCACAGCCTGCAGGTTTCTCTGATGCGTCTGTGCGCACGAACCCGGATGCACTTTTTCCTCACATCATTTCAGTTTTAAACTTTTTTTTTTGTAAAAACACAGTTTACCAGAAATGGAAGAGTGCTCAGAGGAGCGTAAGATATCCGTGTGGGTGTGCCGGGAGGAGAAGCTGGTCCTCGGCTTGTCCAAACACACCACCTGCGCTGATGTGGTCAAAGTTCTTCTGGAGGAGCAGCAGAGCTCTCGGCGCGGCCTCAGGGCGCAGGCTTACTGCATTGTGGAGAAATACGGGGGGTTCGAGAGGATTTTGCCCAACAAAACAAAGATCTTGAGGCTGTGGATGGCGTGGGGAGAAGAGCAGAAAAACGTGAAGTTCGTGCTGGTGAAAAGCGACGCGTCTTTGGATAACCACGCCGCCCGGAGCGCAGAGGCGCGCGTGGTCCACAGCAAACAGAGCTCCTGCGTGGCCAAAGGGACATCACGAGCCATCATGAGCTGCATCTCGCCGGAGAAGCAGCGGCGGATAGTCAGGAAAGCTTTCAGAAAGTTGGAGAAGATCAACAAGAAGAGGACGCGAGCGGCGCACAGAGACGCGTCCTGCGCGGCGGAGAGGATGGAGACGCTTGTTCACGTTGTGATTTCTCAGGACCACACGATCCGACAGCAGATCCAGAGGATATCAGAGCTGGACACGGAGATAGAAAGCCGTGAAGCAAAGGTGCATTTTGACAGAATCAAAAGGCATGGAGTTAATTATGTGCAGAACACGTATCTGGAGGCTCCGGGGGTCTCAAACCAAGAGGGAGGCGAGAAGCCTCCAAGTGAAACTCTAGCCAAGTTTGAGGTGTTTGTCCAGCGGTGTGAGGAGGTGCTTAGGCTACAAGAGGAGCTCTGGGAGCAGGAGGCTCTCATAGAAACGATCACAGCTCACATCCAGGAGGAGCTGAACCAGCGCTGGATGTGGAGGAGGAAAGAGGAGCTGATGAGGAAGCACCCAGAGCCCAGAGGAGGCTCCCCATCTCGCTCCTGCTCTGACGCCGAGCCAACACCACCACACGAGCTGTTCCTGGAGGAGGAGAGGATCAAAACGCAACTGGATGCAAGTTTATACATTGGTCTGCGACTGAACGCGGATTTAGAAGCTATTAGGAGCGATTTGGAGCTGTCCCAGCAGATTTGCGCCGCGCGGGAGAGGGAAATGAGGGATTTGCTGGAGAAAGTGAGCAGTTTGGAGATGGAGGAGGGGACAGGCGGCGAGGAGGAGCTCAGAAACGGGACAGAAGATAAGACCACGACTGACACTTTGGAGGGGAAAAGGGTCTGGGTGGAGAAAGCCAGATGTCTGTCTAAAGCTCCGAGTGTGAACGACGACGACTCAGACACTGGTCTAAGTTCTCTGCACAGTCAGGATTCAGACGGCCTCCCAGTTTGGGAATCACTGGTTTAGGATTGACTGACTGGTCAGCTCATCCACAAAAACCAAAAGCCTCAGGGATCATCATCATGGTGCACAAACAAAAACATCACCCAAGACAAGTGAACACTTCTGACTAACCTGCTTTGAAGTCAAACGCATTTAAAAGGTAGTTCTTGTAATTCTTGTTAGTCTAACAAAGAAAACTTTTGTTGCAACATGAAAATAAATGTTTTTTTAATAATTAAAATACTTCAATTTCTTTTTCTTTAAGAGAAATTACATCTGCAGGCTACAAAATGGGGGTGGTGGACATAATAAAATCACAGTTTCCACAGTTTCTGCCGTAATTCACAACTTTTGGACACTAGGGTGAAACTCACACACAATGCAAAGAGCAGATTTTTACCAGGCAGGCATTTATTGCCCCTCTAAAGACAATTGGGAATAAGGTTTGTCTTCTGTGACTCATTACATCATAATAACGCGCAGGAGTCAAAACAATTCAAAAAGCCTAAAGAGGAAGTCTCCACATCCAGAAGTACTGATGTTTTCCATAAATAACGTTCTTATCAGCTTTTGCAGCTGCGCCTGAAGAAAATCACAGCTGAACTTAAACACAATCGAATCTTCAGAAAATTACTAAATAATTGCCCAATTTATTTGCAAACTTCCTAAAATCAAGAGACTCGACATAAATGAAGCAATGTTACCACATAAAAATGTCTTTAATTAAAAACTAAGGATTTTGCAGCACTGGTGCGTCCTTCATGGAAAAATGTGTAATACTTTAGGTACCTCTGCATGTTTTAGTGCCAGAGGTTTGAGGAAAACAAAGTACTAGTAATAAAATATATGCAGCAAAATGCACGTGCATATATAACCAGGAGGACATGAGAACATGCAATTCAATTGCCTTCATTTTACAAGGCAATCCAAACTGAACTTGATCCTTGAGAGGATTGAAGTGATTACGGACCTGTTTTTAATCACTGGAATCCTTACAAAGACATTCAAGTTCACAGATGAGCTTTCAAGTCTTTAAGAGGGGAAACCACTTATGTAAAGAAATTGTGTGTGTGTGTGTGTGTGTGTGTGTGTGTGTGTGTGTGTGTGTGTGTGTGCGTGCGTGCGTGCGTGCGTGCGTGTGTGTGTCCAGTCTTGTTTATAGGACACATTTGGGACATATTGATCTAAGGTTGTGGGGACCAGTAATTTCACAGAGACCAAAACTCCAATCAGGTTGTTAATAGTTTTAGAACCTCTGGTTAAAAATAGAAGTAAAATGTGGTTTGAGGTTAGTTTCATGTTAGAAATGAACTGATGAGAGATAAGGACCAGGTTAATTATGTATAGCTGGAAGTTGCAGTGTCCTGCATGATTGTGGGTGGGGGTGCATGGAAGGGGTCACAGAATTATAGGTCAACTGTGCTCACGTTCAATTCAATTCAATTCAATTAATCCCAGAGGGAAATTAGAGTTTCAGTACACACAATTCTGAGATCAGACATACATACATCGGCATAGACACATGACAAGAATTGGTGACTGTGGTCATTCGCAACCCGAGTCGCGCTACCTTAGTAGAGATCAGAGGGGTTTACATGAGGATTGAGTCAGGTGGAGGGAAAAAAAGGCACTTCAGAGTTAAGCTTGGTTTATGCTTGACACATTCACTTTCCGCGCGGTGATGCGGCTCGCGGCTGGAACGTGCTTCACAACTCGCAGCGTTTATGGTTTGTGCGGCTCGTCTCTGCGGTGAGCCAATATTCTCCCAAACTGAACGGGGCAGCATGGAGCTCTACAGCATGCATCCAACACTACACCATAGTAGAAGTAGAAATTACTGTTTACAACACGGCATTTCAGCATTTTTAACAGCGTTCTCGTCTTTTCCGACAGTGCGAGCTATTTCTCCCCAAGAATTATTTACAACATGTTGATCACTGTGATCTCTGAGAGCTGAATCATACAAATGTCTGTATTTACGAACCTCTGCCATACTAGTTCTTGCCGGTCCGCCATGTTTTTCCGCGTCCGTCCGTCCGCGTGGTTAGAAATTTTCCGAGGTGCGCGTTGCGGAAATTCTGGGCCGTGCGGAGGCGCGGTGGAGGGGCGTGGTTGTTAAAATGACGCAAAATGACGCTACTTTTCCGCGCGGAGCCGTGCGGACCTCGCGGACGCGTCAAGCATAAACCAACCTTTACCCTCCACAGGGAGGGCAGCTTTGCTATGCAAAAAAAAACACCTCAGACAGAAATGCAACAGACTTCAGACACTACACAACATCTCCACACATCAGTGCATGCAGCCGCGATAAGCAGCACTCGTCACCTCCGTTTGGACGGGGGAGGAGGTCATTGGGTTTAGAGAGCACAGTGACTCCTGGAACGATTCAGCGGCCTTCACAGCTCACAGTCCCGCCCAGGCTGGGATAGGGAGACAGAGTTGCCATGGCGACGGCAGCATTCCACATTTCTTCTGAGGGGGAGTTATCACTTCAGCCTCACAGGCTCAAGGGCACCAGATTCAGATAAGAACTTGTTTTGGGGCCAGACAGAGATAATTTCCTCTCTGTCTTAAAGTTCCGTTGGTCCTCAACCCCTCTCAATCCAATAATGGCGTAAATTAATCTATCCCAATCCGTGCTGATCCGTCAACTTTTTCCTTGATCGAATCCACCTTCTGTGCCTGAGTCTGAATCTCAGCCAAAGTTCCAAGCTTACGACTCATCTCGACAATTATATGAGTTTGTGCATTCACAGCGCGGTGTAATCCATCCCTGAGCTCCGGGATTGAGCCAATATTCCTCGACAGCTCATTGATTTTCTGGTAAGCCAGGTCAGGCCAAAAAGCAAGAAACCTGACACCAACACCACAAATATCCATATGTCTTCAGAATCCTCTACAGACAGTTGAGAGAGGCAAATCAGGTTCCACTGTTTCCAGGAGTCCATGATATGCCCAAATGGCTCTGTCCCAGAGGGGCATCCGGGAGCCCCTTCTCCCGTTCTCATTGTTGAAAAAATGTTGTCAATCGCGTTGAGAGACCAACTGACCAGGTCCATTTTTAATAATTTCCTGTGTTTACAGAAAAAATGCAGAAGCGCCGTACACCCAAAGACAGACAAAGAGCCTTGGGATGAGATAGGGAGGAGAGGAGGAAAAAAAGTGTCTGTACTCTCCAAGAGCGGGAAGAAGACTGTAATACCTTGGCAGTGGTCTTTAATAGGCATGAATGCCTTGTAACTGTAAACCCAAACAAGTTCACTGAACTCAAAATTTATGAGGAAACTGATTACATAATAATTTTTAGGTTAACTAAAAACTATAAGTTCACCATTACTTAAAAATATGACCCGAATAAAATCAAAAAGCTCTGGATTGCCTGTTTGAGGATCTAGAAGTTAGCTGGAGGAGAACGTGGCAAAACACGGCAGAATTTGGAGTCTTGTTTCATGATACTCAGACATCTCGCCTCTGATTGGCTAATAGCATCATGACTCTTCCACTACCTCTGTTTGCAACATGGATGTTTTATCTCCACAAATAACACAAGCCTGAAGGAATTCTGCTGTGTGGTGGAGTTGCTAATGCTAATAGTTAGCTTATACTAATGAGCCGGCAGCCGTCTGCGAAACTGTAGCGTCAACAACAGGTAACAAAACCGTTTCTGTGTTTTAAAAAAGAACGACAACATGGAATTAGAAATAACGCACAGCAAGAACACACCTAAGATGTTAGCTTCTACTAGCTGAGACCATCTCTGCTGTTTCCTGGACGCTAAACCAACAACAGCCTTCTCCGTCGTGAGTCAAGATGGGTGAATCCATGAATGTTAAGTGACGGTGTGACGTAGATCTGTCAGGATTTTCTAATCCTAGAGTTTCACTGACTCAGACATTAATGCAGGAGGTAGGTGTAGGAGACTATTTTCATGTTCAGCCTGCATGAAAAACTCAGAGTGACCCACTATATTCAGAAATAATCATTAAAAAAATGTTTTTTCATTAAAGTTGACCTTTATGTTTAAAGCTGCTTTAGTGAATCTGCAAACAAGCTAGGTTTAGAACTCAAACACGGTGACAGAACACTCCCATCTCCCCTCTGGTATCTTCCCTGAAACACTTCTGTCGGAACTGGAAACCCACTTTGCCAGAGGAAACAAGATAGCGCTAAACATCAGTCCCCCGTTTTCTAGGTCCAAACATATTTTGTTGCCTGTGACTTCAAACGTTTTTTTTTTCCTTTTGGGACTCTGGTAGTTTGTCCTAAAGGTAGCAGCCAACTGTTTCTCCTTCTCTGATATTGTTGAGCAGCGAGTACATGAATGGAGGACGTAGGGAAGTGAGACGGTTCAGCAAGACCAACAAACGGATTGTCCAATAGTTGCGTTTGGTCCGAAACGTGTTATTGGTGAAGGTTTTTAGACAAATGCAATAAGAACCAGTTTATTTATTTTTTGTTATTTTTTCAAATCTCCATCTCCATCTATAGCTATACTAGGTTTGAATGTTAAGAAGCATGTAAAAATGTTTTAAGCAAATTAGTTTTCCAAATTTGCCATTGCAGCTTTAAATTAATATGCTGATAAATATAAGCACAATGCATTTGTGAATTTGGGTCGATAGAAGCTTTTAAAAATTGGTTAGAAAAAAAAGATATAACAGGATAAAACACACAGCAGGTACACAAAACTGATATCTATTGAGTTTCCACCCTTGATGAACCCACCCACGTGTACCTGTATACACACAGGTATACATTACTTCCTGTGTCCCTAGAGTTCTCTGCTTAACGAACTACTGAGGAAGGCTAAACCGCAGGGAAGATGCTTTCTCAGCATATACAGTATCTGAGTCGGACTTAAAAAGGTTATTTAACTGTAAACTTTTATGAAAATCGTGATATAAGAATATTTATTCCCGTACACTGCCACACACACACACACACACACACACACACACACACACACACACACACACACACACACACACACACACACACACACACACACACACACACACACACACACACACACACACACACACACACACACACACACACACCAAACCTGCCTTTTGTTATCCACATTCAGGGCAACATCAGTGTCAGACAAGCAGTGGTGCTGCATTACGTGCTGAAAGAATAACAGCTTCTTGTCTCCTGACAACAGCAGCCGTCTCCTCTGCGCTGGAGTCTCTTTTCACTGTGCTCCTCTGAGGGACATAAATTGATCTGACCTGATAGCAACATCATGTCATCTCATGAACAGGAACGTGGTGTTGCACGCAGCATTCTAAGATGACAACAAGCGCATGACACAGATCTTTTTTCAGGGGCCAAGTCTGTGGAGAGTTTTGATTATGTGGAGTTTCCCCAGAGCTCTGAAGCTCTTTGAGACAAAGAAAAAAAAATTCAAGAATCTGAAGTATTCTCCTCTTTCTAAATATGCCAGATCGAACACAGAAAAAGGAATGTTGGCCAGAAACTGGAATATTGTTCTCAGTAGTGCGTGTTGAGAAGTCATCAAAAATATATATACTTTAAAGGTGCAGTATGAAAGAATACAGTGGGGCAAAAAAGTATTTAGTCAGCCACCGATTGTGCAAGTTCTTCCACTTAAAATGATGACAGATGTCAGTAATTTACAGTACATCATAGGTACACTTCAACTGTGAGAGACAGAATGTGAAAAAAAAATCCATGAATTCACATGGCAGGATTTTTAAAAATTTATTTGTAAATCAAGGTGGAAAAATAAGTATTTGTTCACTTCAAACAAGGAAAATCTCTGGCTCTCACAGACCTGTAACGTCTTCTTTAAGAAGCTTTTCTGTCCTCCACTCGTTACCTGTATTAATGGCACCTGTTTGAACTCATTATCTGTATAAAAGACACCTGTCCACAGCCTCAAACAGCCAGACTCCAAACTCCACTATGGCCAAGACCAAAGAGCTTTCGAAGGATACCAGGAAAAGAATTGTAGACCTGCACCAGACTGGGAAGAGTGAATCTACAATAGGCAAGCAGCTTGGTGTGAAAAAATCAACTGTGGGAGCAATGATCAGAAAATGGAAGACATACAAGACCACTGATAATCTCCCTCGATCTGGGGCTCCACGCAAGATCTCATCCCGTGGGGTCAAAATGATCATGAGAACGGTGAGCAAGAATCCCAGAACCACACGGGGGACCTGGTGAATGACCTGCAGAGAGCTGGGACCACAGTAACAAAGGTCACCATCAGTAACACACTACAACGGCAGGGAATCAAATCCTGCAGTGCCAGATGTGTTCCGCTGCTGAAGCCAGTGCATGTCCAGGCCCGTCTGAAGTTTGCCAGAGAGCACATGGATGATACAGCAGAGGATTGGGAGAATGTCATGTGGTCAGATGAAACCAAAGTAGAACTTTTTGGTATAAACTCAACTCGTCGTATTTGGAGGAAGAAGAATACTGAGTTGCATCCCAAGAGCACCATACCTACTGTGAAGCATGGGGGTGGGAACATCATGCTTTGGGGCTGTTTTTCTGCTAAGGGGACAGGACGACTGATTTGTGTTAAGGACAGAATGAATGGGGCCATGTATCGTGAGATTCTGAGCCAAAACCTCCTTCCATCAGTGAGAGCTTTGAAGATGAAATGTGGCTGGGTCTTCCAACACGACAATGATCCCAAACACACCGCCCGGGCAACAAAGGAGTGGCTCCGTAAGAAGCATTTGAAAGTCCTGGAGTGGCCTAGCCAGTCTCCAGACCTCAACCCCATAGAAAATCTGTGGAGGGAGTTGAAAGTCCGTGTTGCTCGGCGACAGCCCCAAAACATCACTGCTCTCGAGAAGATCTGCATGGAGGAATGGGCCAAAATACCAGCTACTGTGTGTGCAAACCTGGTAAAGACCTATAGTAATCGTTTGACCTCTGTTATTGCCAACAAAGGTTATGTTACAAAGTATTGAGTTGAATTTTTATTATTGACCAAATACTTATTTTCCACCCTGATTTACAAATAAATTCTTTAAAAATTCTGCCATGTGAATTCATGGATTTTTTTTTCACATTCTGTCTCTCACAGTTGAAGTGTACCTATGATGAAAATTACTGACCTCTGTCATCATTTTAAGTGGGAGAACTTGCACAATCGGTGGCTGACTAAATACTTTTTTGCCCCACTGTATATTGAGAATTTTACAGTGAGAAAATCCCAAAAGAGTCATTTTGGAAGGAAGGTTATACTGAAACATATTTCATATCCAGCAGGCTGCTGGATTGTCAGTTTTTCTACTTTCAAAACAAAGGAAGGAGGAGCATAACTACTGTTTGCCATCAGTGAGTGTGGGGTCGCCGTGTCTCCTGTGAGCTAATGCTGCAGCTCCAACAATTGTAATTTGACGATGCCGGCAAAAAGCTCCAGAGTTTTTTAAAGTGGTTGCATTAACCACATTTTACCATAGGATGTCATTTTTACTTCATTTCTACATAATGCACCTTTAAATGAGCAAAGGTGTTCCAAACCCACACTCTTGTGCATTAAATTATCAGAGTGTTATTTTCTTCTGGAGTCATTATTAAACAAATACAAATAAAACCATAACTTTAGTGTTAACTGATTGTGTGTGTGTGTGTGTGTGTGTGTGTGTGTGTGTGTGTGTGTGTGTGTGTGTGTGTGTGTGTGTGTGTGTGTGTGTGAATGAACAAGTGTGTACAGTCTTTAATGTAAACTTCTTCTGCAATTCTCATCCACCCTGAGGAGATTTTGGATAGATAGATAACTGTATTCATGAAATTATAATTAGAAAAATTGTTGATTATAATAATTATAATTTATTTTGTTACAAAATCAGTTATTTGTCAAGGTCGGATAATAAAAATAAATAGTAATTATGGGTTAAGCACTGAGTAAGTAATGATATGTTCCTCCTCTGTTGCTTAGATAACTTCCAGTTAGTCCCTGAATAATACTGGTGGGTGTTTTTACCAGTAAGTAATGGTTAACTAATGGTTAACCCTAACCCTGGTTCATTACTCATTATCTCCTAAGTCGTTCTCTAGTAACAAAGAACTATTTATGCCCCTTATTGTAAAATGTTACCAAAACAACTGTACTCAAAGTTTCTTCAGACATAAGAGGCACAGAAAAATGTGTAACTTGGTAAATTATGTCAACTTTGCTTAAAAATACATCAAAATATTGAGTGGATTAAAGAAATCCTTGTGTCAAATTGATTCTAGTGAAATGTCTTTTTTTTTCCAGTTTTCAAAGGAAATTCCTCTGACTCAAGAAAAGAAACGACCGGCTCCTAATGGCACAAACCTGCCGGTGTTCCCTAATCCCTGGAATGTGTCACTTTGTGTTCCTGGCAGCTTTTGCTCACTCTCCTGGATGGACCTGCCATGAAGTCACTAATGAAGGTATTGACTTGAGAGTTGGGACTTCAATGTGAGCGCTGAGTTGAAAGCCGCTCAGAGAGCACTTAGCCCGCTGCTAACAGACCGAGGCCACCGGTGTGCGCTCATTAGACCTCATTGTGCTGGTGGCAGGTGTGTTAATCCTGTCAGGCTGGGTGGTGACCCCGTAACCCCAACTGTGGGATACTGTACGGTCTCTTTCCGAGCCACTCAATGCCTGTCAACCCCTATTTGGAGTAAATTTAGCCCGACCCCTTCATCGGCCGCTGCGCTATGCTTCAGCAATCAGTTCAAACACAATCAGTGCAGCAACAAAATTGCAGAATATTTTGCTCCATTTTCTCTTCGTGAAACCACAAACACCTGAAGCGATGAAGTTATAATACTGTGGTGTGATGATTGACACTACAAATTTAATTATTTTGACCAATAAGATGTGATGATTCAATATGAATATGAAATATCAACCTGATTGATCTTTGAATGTTTAATCAGAAGATTCTAGGGTTCTTTGTTTATTCGGGGACACTAAACACACTTCGTATTAATTCAGAGAGAGCCAAGCATATGGTTTATAAAATGAATTAATTTATTTTTCCTAAACTAATGATTATACATGACAAGGTGCGAGTATATGTATTGTAATAGATATGAAGTGATTTAATACGATGTGTGTAATGGAAGCTAGATGTTTTAGCTAAACTGTTCTTTGTGTCTGAGAGAATTTGTGAAGTCTGGGTTATAAAATAAAATTGTTGTTTGTTTATAAACTAGAGAGTTGTTTATTAATCTCATCCGACGCCAGTGTGCAAGCTACGATACCCTTGGTATGAGTCGCTCCCGGTGGTCCGGAGGAGTGCGGTCCGAGTGGTGAGGTCACTGGATGTAGAAACCACAATACTCAGAGATTAGTAGCTTCCAGCTTCACCGGCCATGGGATGCAACCCGGGGTCTGCAGGTTAGATGTCTGAGGTGTGAAGTAGCTCTGTAAAGAGCTGTTTTGCCCATAATTGTGGAAGTCACAGGAGACTGTTTCAAAAAGACTTCTTCCCCGATTTGGCCGGATCGGGAGTCAGCTGGAAAACAGAAATAATCGGGAAGTAATTCTTGTTCTATTGAACTCATTGTTTATACATTTTGGCAAGTTTAGCAAATCAGAATTTGACACGTTTGAGGGTTTTACCAAACCGTCAGAAGCCACGCCTTCTTCAGATACAAAGGTGTTTAACACTTTGTGAATGAGAATGTTTTAAAACACTCATCTGAAGTGAATATTAACATTAATAGGTATCTTATTGTAATGTGTATGAGTGCAGATATTGATTAACTTGTTAAATCAAACACATACTGATCTGGTGTAGATAAGATCTGGAATGGATCATTGCAGGAACAATATTCATTTTAAAGTTGTCATTGGTTTAAGCACAGATTATTCAAACCTTTGATTTAAACATCATGTTCATTCAACACATATGATTATTTAAACTTATGAGCTTCAAGTAGGTTTGATTTTTACTTAGAGTGAGGAATGCAGCAGTCAGGCTCCTGCATCAGACCTTGGGTGAGAGAACGTTATGACTTCTTGCAGTAGCAAGAACTGTGGCAACTGTTTGTTTTGGGAGTCAGAGGCCAGACATGGTGTTGTCCTATCTGTACATGAAAGGTTATCTTGTGGTCAATTAGATGGTGAAAATTGATCACTTGGTACGTTACGATATATTTAGCATCAAATTTCAGCAACATTTTAGTCGTTTTACAGTTACTTTATATCTGGGTCCTTTATATGTGATTCACTGATTGCAAATATAATAAGCTCTATTATAAAACTAAGTGCAGTGGTCACCAGGAGGAGGAGAAAAAGGTCAAAGTTGTCATAGGACCCATAATATGAGTTTGAAACCTGCCATAGTCAAATGAAATGGTGGTTTAAGAACTTGCACGTTTTAATGTTGTGCAAACTAAAAAGGCAACAGCTAAAGCTGCAATGACAATTTTGGAAAACAAATGAGCTTAAATTTTTTTTCATGTATCTTAACGTTCCAACAAAGTATAGATATAAATATATTGTAGAGATTTAAAAAAAAAACAGAAAACCTTAATAAAATGGTTCCTAGCATTTGTCTAAAAATCTTCACCATTAATACGTTTTCGACTGAAAGCAATTGTTGGACCATCCGGTTGTTGCATTCATATACTCACCGCTCAAAAATATCCAAGAAGGAGAAACAGTCGGCTACTACCACTTCAACTTTAGGACAAAATATCAGTCGCAAAAAGAAAAACACCATTTAAAGTCACGGACAAGTAAAGACATTTGGACAAAGAAATTGGCGACTGTTGTTTAGCACGATCTCGATTCCTCCGGCATCGCAGATTTCTGGTTCCGGCAGAAGCGGCTCAGGGAAGACATCCAAGGGGACGGGTTAGTATTCCATGACCATGTTTGCATTAAAAACCAAGCTTGTTTGCATCTTCAAAGTGGCAGTGTGTAGTTTCCTGCTACTAGGAGGCAGTACATACATATATTTCAAGATAGTTTTATACCATATCACTGTGATTGTCGCTAGCTTAAAAAAAACATACAGTAAATGTTATTAGCTGTGGAGCAGAAAGAATTCGACTTCAGCATGACTCCTCAGACTTGACTGATGGTACTTCAGTTAATTCCATCGAGAGAATGAATGATTGTAGTTTTCTGGCGTTGTAGTTTCCGGACGTGCTTGGAGTCCTGTGTCTGCCAATGATGTCATCACTCTATGGCAATACCACTCGACCAAAATATATTGCATTTTTATTTTGATTCTGTTCTTTCACATATGTTTTGGGAGTTTAGCAGTTTTGTTATTAAATTCATGTTTCTTACTGCCTAAATGTTTTCGAACATGGTAACATAATTTCCATAATTTCCATAAGTCGTATGTCCAGCCAATCATCTAGTGTGATGTCATCGACAGGCGCAGGACCCCGAAGGAAACACGGCGTCCCCCAAAGATACTAGACCCATGCCCTATGTACTTTAGACTGGATTTTTATGGTTATATGTTATTGAGCCGCCAATATTTTCAACGACTGGAGATCATTTTATTCATTTTCACAAAGTTTTAATTAATATTTCCAGAGATTAACGGGAAAAACTACACATTGTCTCTTGAAGTTTGATGGCAATGATACTGAAAAAAAATCATGGAAGTGATCGAGGGCTACAGTTCTTGACCAAACTCTTGAAACTTGGCCGTAAATTACTTTCTTTTTTGGATGCACATACTTTACTTTTAATTAAATAATTCACTAAGCAGGTGTCTGGAAAAAAAAGTATCTAAGTGTCTAAGCTTTGCAACACCCACTTGAAAGAATAAGCTACAGTAGATTGTGACTATGTGAGCTCAGGAGGTAGCGCAGGTTGTCCAGTAATTGGAAGGTCGCAGGTTCGATCCTGGCTCCAACCAGAGAATGCAGCAGATGTGTCCCTGGGCAAGGCATTTAACTGGCCTTGCCTGCTGGTGGTGGTCAGAGGGACTGGTGGCACCAGTGTATGGCAGGACTCGCCTCTGTCAGTGTGCCCAAGGGCAGCTGTAGCTACAGTTTAATTCATCCACACCAGCGTGTGAATGGGTTAATGACTGATTGTGTTGTGAAGTGCCTTGGGGGGGGGGGGGGGGGGGGGGGGGGGGGGGGGGGTTGTAGAACGCTAAGGAGGTGCTACCCAAATACAGGCCATTTACCATCTTCTCCAAAGATTTTCTTTGAATCAAACATCACAGTGGGTTTTAAGGGTGTGAATGATGTATCAGTTACAGAAAAACTTAAAGATGTCTGGGTGTTGCTGAACTTCACTCAATTGTCTTTCTGTCTGTAGAAAGTGAATGGATTATGCTGCAGGCAAAAATCACAAGATCTCTTCAGAACATTTCCTTCACTCCCCAACCCCCACCCTCTCATATCCTAATGGGAAAGATTGGTTTCACGTACAATGAGGATGGATTGTGTTGCAGGACTTTAGTGGGTCACACCATTCCAACCTGAAAACATGTACCCACTGATCCAAGGAAACCAAAATGTCAAAACAATCAGGTCGTGTCTGGTTTCTAATTATATGTCACCTTCTGATACAAGGGGATTTTTTTCCCCAAACAATGTAAATTCTAAGGAATTGTTTAGAGCATAATGCATTAAATAAAATTTAGCAGCAGCATTTGAATAATTTAATTTAGCCTATGGCTGAAATGCTTAAGTTGTGCAAGTGAGCAAAATAATAATAATAATAATAACAATAATAAAAAAAGGGAAATTTAAGTCAAGAGAGACAATGAAACAGTTAAAAATAATTCCTATTTCAGAATATAATTCTCAAGGATAATTATGTGGGTTAATAAAGATTAAAGTCTTGATTTTCAGTAGAAACCAAAACCCAAGTTCAATAAGAAACCAGTTTTTTCCATCTTTTTTAAATATATGAATTAGTGATGCACCGGTATGAAATTTTTGGGCCGATACCGATATCCAATTTTAATATCACTGTTATGGCTGATAACCAATATTTGCTGATACCGATATGCTGACATGAATGTGTTGCAAAGTGCACTTGGTTGAAAGGCTACCGTATTTTCATATTAAGCCTGCATGTGAAACTCAGAGTGATTGATCATATTTCAAAAATAACAAGAAAAAAATGGTTTCTCGTGAACGTGGTCTTTAACGATTCAACTAAAACAAACATTTTAAATTCAGCTAATCCAGATACAGCTTCATGCAAACTTGGAAGCTTCAAATGTCTTTTCACGTGCACATAAGGATCACACCGTTCTGACATGATCAGCCTACCAGACTTTTCATTCAGATTTCAAACTAGAATATAGTTCCTCAGAAATATAAACAAACATCGTATTAGTTCATTCTGACATGGTTTCTAGCTGGAAATCTAAAAGGTAACAGCTCAGATCTAATTTCCTCATGTTTATTAAGTTGTTCCTCAATAAAACATCTCTATGTGGCACAAATAAATGCCTCTGAATGACAAGAACTCTAATTAGCGTTGTGACGCAGCTGACAGGAGCACACAGCGGAGTTCAGTCACACACAAACACTCCATGTTTGGAGAGGAGGGTTAACAGCTCTTCAGATGCAGGCGGGGTAAATCTAAATGCATGTCTGGGATGCCGGGGGCCCTCTTGTCCCTTGTCACTGGGTTTAATGAACACATGTGCAGTTTCTTATTCCACGTTGGTGAATCAGAAGGCTCAGCTGCTGCTGGATGAACTGGCTGGGAACACAAGATAACTGACAGCTCATGAAGAAAGCACAGATTTATTGATCAGAATAAATTAAATTAGGAATTAAAATTAAACTGTTGTAGTTTTACTCCTAGTTATTTTACATGTTAGAAAATAATACTAGTTTTTGTCAAAAATTAAACATTTGATAAAAAGCATCTATGGCTTTTTTCATTGTGAAACTCAGGATTCATTTAAAAGAGACATTTCACCCCTAAGAGAAATGTAGCCTGATGCCATATTCTCCAGTGTTAAAGTGTGAAAAAGCATGTTATAACCACTCCAGTCGTTCTCGTCACCTGGCAGTACTCCATTAGCTTTAGCTTAGCATTAACAATGTAAATGAATGGTAACAGCTAGCTGTTGTGTTAAAAAGACATGAAAATTACTCAATAATGATCCTAATTTTTCTTAACAATCTTAATGATCATATTAATTTAAATTAAAAACAAGTAGCACAACGGAATCACAGGAGCTGACGTAGACTCGGGACTATCTTACGACAAAGCTCCACTGTCAGCCGGAGCTGCAAGGCGCAAGGGCATACCACAGCAACCCTGAAAGAACCCCACTCCTTTAAACACAATAGTGAGTTTTTACTACCGTAGTTAAAGAATATTGCATTTATAGTGCAAGAAAAAGATTTTTGCGTCATTTCCCTGAGCCTTGCAGTGGCAGCCCACCGTGGTGCTTTGTTGTTATGTAGTCCCAAACCTAAATGGGCTCTTGTAATTTCTTTGTGTTACTTATTATTTTCATCAGCAGTCAATATGATTATTGAGGTCACCAAGAAATATTCGGATCATTATTGAGTAAATGTCATGACTTTTTCATATGAAAAGCTAGTTGTTACCATTCACTTACATTGTTTACGCTAAGCTAATGGAACACTACCAGATTATGAGAAAGACCGGGCTGGTTACAAAATGCTTTTCCCACTTCTCTAGCTCTGAGGAATATGGCAACAGCCTAAATTTCACTTAGGGATGGAATATCCCTTTAATGCAGGCATGTCCAAAAGATGGCCCCTGGGGCCATCTACAGACCTTGGAGTGATTTTGTGCAGCCCTCACTTGAATTGTTAAACTGGTGAGGTTCCTGTAGCTCTTTTTAATTTTTTTTTTAACATTTTAAAGTTCATTTTAACAATAAGAGACACATATTTGATTCGGAAAAGGGTAGAATGCCTTCTCCGGGTCAGGGATGAGGTCCTGCCCCAAGTGGAGGAGTTTAAGTATCTCGGGGTCTTGTTCACGAGTGAGGAAAAGCTGGAGCATGAGATCAATGAGGGATTGGTGCTGTGTCTGCAGTGATGTGGGCGTTGCATTGGTCTGTCGTGGTGAAGAGAGAGCTGAGTCAGAAGGTGAAGCTCTCAATTTACCGGTCGATCTACGTTCCTACCCTCACCTATGGTCATGAGCTTTGGGTAGTGACCAAAAGAACGAGATCGCGGATGCAAGCGGCCAAAATTAGTTTTCTCCGCAGAGTGGCTGGGCTCTCCCTTAGAGATAGTGAGAAGCTCAGTCATCCGGGAGGGGCTCGGAGTAGATTCGCTGCTCCTCCACATCGAGAGGAGCCAGTTGAGGTGGCTCGGGCATCTGGTCAGGATGCCTCCTGTACGCCTCCCTGCTGAGGTTTTCTGGGCACGTCCAACCGAGAGGAGGCCTAAAGGGAGACCCAGGACACGGTGGAGGGACTATGTCTCTCACCTGGCCAGGGAACACCTTGGGATTCCCCTGGAAGAACTGGCCCAAGTGGCTGGGGAGAGGGAAGTCTGGGCCTCTTGACTTAGGCTACTGCCCCCGCGAAACACTGAATTAATTATTCAAGAACATATCTACATAAATAACAAAACAGTGGATGGGAATAATTTTACTCCTATCAGCGAGTTTGTGAATTATTACATTTATCATGTCAGTAGCTGTGGCCACATAGTAGCTCATCACCATCAGTGTGTGAATGTGTATGTGAATGCATGAATGATACACTATAGTGTAAAGTGCTTTGGATTCCTTTGACTCTAAATGACGCTATACAAGTGCGGGTCATTTGTCAGAATGTTAAAACTATATGGAAAAATTCTGACAGCTAATGTGGATATGGAAGAGGACAGAGCAGATCAAAGTTCTTCCTGCTTCTGAATCCTAAAATCATCTCTCTACTCATCTACTCAAAGGTAGAGAATCAGATCCACACATCTGCTTGTTCCCAGCAGACTATGACTTTACTCTGGTCTCACAGGAAATGGCCTGATCCTGATCAAAGTGCACGTCATCATCATCGTCATAATCATCATCATTTCGTCATCGTCGTCGTCATCGTCGTCATCCTCATCATCGTCATCGTCATCCTCATCATCGTCGTCATCGTCATCATCATCATCATCATCATCGTCGTCATCAACGCCATTGTCATCATCATCATCATCATCGTCATCATCATTTCGTCATCGTCGTCGTCATCGTCATCATCGTCGTCATCGTCATCATCATCATCATCATCATCATCATCATCATCATCATCATCGTCGTCATCAACGCCATTGTCATCGTCATCAT